TGAGGAGACCAGCTGCTGTTTTGAATGGTAAATATATTCTTGTTCTTATATTTGCTAGCCACAGGATTTCAGCCCTCAGCAGCTCACGGCCTCCTTTGCAGCACATTTGGCTTCATTTTCATTTAATATTTCCATTCAAAACACATCTGGACTGAATGCAGAACAGTTTAGTTTCACTACAAAGTCATTCTGTATAAGAAGTGTAGTTACATAGTGGTGTGTTGCTGAAATGAGCCAGGCTGTATGATAAATTGTTTTGATTCTGGATTGGACTGTATAGTCTTACATGTCTTTAGATGTCAAATGTACATCTGCTCTGTTGCTCATATCACAGGTGGAGACTTTTAAACTATGAATTGATAACAAACCTCTCTTCTTCAGCTCAGTGGAACCTGCCTCCTCTAACAACAACTTCAACTAAACTATATACGCAAATATACAAGGCCACCCTAATGCACGGGCTTATCTTTCCTGAAGTCCAGGGGCATGTCACTGGAGGGCCTACTTGTTTTGTGGTCACATGTTGAACAGAAAAATTGCAGTTTTTTAAACTTGTAATGTTTTCTGTTAGTCATTTCAGATGTAAGTATATTTGTGGCCGCTGAATGATCCAAACTAATAGTTACCCATGCAGGCTCACGTGGTCTGACCAATCAGAATGTGTATTGTTTTTAGTTTCGGGGGATGTCCCTTGACGATTGCCTGACAACATGTTGGGGTCTGGGAAGACATTTGTGAGCGGTGCTCAGTACTTTATTTGTGAGGAAAGAATATTGAGCTACCAAAGCTGGCAGAACAGTTTTATCCAGCTGCCTGAAAAGACGAACCTGCCGAAGGATGCTCGCTGACTGAAAACATCCTGAGAGGAGGACAAGGTGCTGCTTGAGAGGAGTAGATGAGTGGAGTGGAGAGGAAGGACAACAGAGAGAGGAGCAGGGACAAAGAGAGACTAATCTGATCACCTTCAAATCACTAGCTGAGGCAACAACATTGACCAACAGGTGCATGTGTTCTGGATGAACCTGGGACTGGTGCTGTGCCTAAGTTTCATCAGCCAGAGTGAGCTGCCTGTTGAAGAGTCTTGAAGAGTGCCATTTCTGTTTTTGGAATTAAACAATATTAACAGTAAAAGATGTATATTTATACCAGGGTTAAATCAATAGTCTGTTTCCCTTTTTTTTACTGGACCACTCAGTCCCAGGACCAGCAAGTTAAGCTGGTCCAGCATATATAGGCTAATATAGCAGCAGGGTATCTGATGAGTGGCACTGCATGTGTCGATGGCTTGGACTTTGTTCTTGCCGTTCAGCAGGACCTGCCTTACYCTCTGTAGGTACTTGCTTGTTTTTGTTGTTCAGCTTGATGTCATCCATGTAGAGGAGGTGACTGGTGTTTGTTCCAGTTGGAGCCAGGATCCACAACCAGTCTTTGCAATGGTCAGGCATCCATATTTTCAGTTMCAGGCTGAGTCATTTCTACCTTCTCCTCTCTGTCAACGCTCTCTGGTTTCATTTAAAAGAGTCGATCATCAGATATTGTCCGGGATTAACCTTCAGGGTGGATATACAGTAGCTCGCTAACAGCCTAACACCAATGACCTATCCACGTCATCATTTACCCAGAATGCTTTGCATGTAAATAAAATGGCCTTGTCCGCGTCAGATATTTTTAAACTTTTAGTTTAAAAGTTATAAACACTAAACAGCCTACAGTATTTTTACAGTTTTTATTTTACAGTTRAAATATATGTTTATCAAATAAAGTCTAATGTTACAACTAATCAGGGATCCCTTTCAGATGTTTACCTGTATAATGAGCCTCAAAAATCTGTAATTTTCGCAAAACAATTTGTATCGATCACATGTGGACCATCGACGGCRGAGATGACAGCACCTGCAGAGAAGCCTGACAGGACAGGAGAACTTATTTCTAGCGGCAGAGCAGGTTGGAAGATGGTTATCTRATGTTATTTATTGTTTTTWAMMWYC